CCTGGGATCGAGTCCCACATCGGGCTCCCTGCTCAGCGGGGAGTCTGCTTCTCCCTCTGACCCTCTTCCCTCTCGTGCTATCTCTCATTCTCTCTCTCTCAAATAAATAAATAAAATCTTTAAAAAATAAATAAATAAAAAATAAAAAACAGTTAGTTTACACCACTGGACTACAAGCTGTATGAGGGGAAGGATATCTGTTTTACAAGCTCATGAATATCTGGTGTCTATATAAAACCTGTCACATTGTAAACAGTAAATATTTGCCACTCAGTGAATAAATGGTAAACTTTCTTGTAATATATCCATAGGAAGGAAGAGTACTCAATGCTTAAAATGGCAGAGTTCCATTTTGCAGATTATGGTCTCATTTTTTTATTAAAAATCATGAAATACCTATCAGTGCAGAGAACAGATCTAGTGCCAAGATCTCAGATGTCAGCCAAAAGCCAACCTGCAAGTGGATTCTTCTAAACACAGCATCTTCAGGCCTGCTATGTTAACTCTTTTTTGAGCATTGGTCTATTTAGTTTTCTACTTTCTGAGCTAGTTTTTATATTTTATATTTACCTAGGAAATAATCTCTTTTGCTTGTGCTTTCAAATTAAAAGTATACAGCTGTTTGTCAAATTGAAAAAAAAAAAGACAAATATGGTTACTCTACATAGCAGAAATACGGATGAATGTGGCTAGAGAAAAAAAACCTCACACAAGTACATACTGTTATATAACTCCCATGTGCCCCTCTACACCTTTCTGTGTCCTGGGACACTGACCTCTATTGACTGCATTAATAGACTCCCTTACCTGACTCCATTTTCAATTGGGTTCAGCCACATGCAGGAGATGGGAGGGAGGCAAGTGAAGCACAGTATTGACTCCCCTGGCACCCTCCTTGCAGCACCACCCTGTGTGGTGTCTGTCCTTCGATCATAGGTCACAACGCCTGTCAGAGGCCCTCCCCACTCAGATCTCTCTATCTCTGGGTTCAGGTCTAAGTTTTACTATTATAAGTCCCTGGGTATAGCACTATCCTTTACAGTTCTCTATATACTGATTCATAACTTGGAAACACTTCCCTTTGGAGTTTCTTGCCAGAACCCTAACTGATAAACACGTTGATCCAATGTACTTCTAGGATATGACCAGAGATTCCACAAAAGCACCACTACACTTCCCTAATAAATTCACTTTCCCGTTCTCCCATGACTATTTCATAGATTCTGCCTCTCTCTCAAAATACCACCAATTCCTTTCCTGTCCTCACTTTGAACTTCCTCATCTTGCTAACCACAGGTCCTTGCTGAACTGTATCTATATTCATGTATTCTGTCTTCCCTCTGTTACTATGCATGAAACTCTAGGCTCCTATCTATGGCCATTCCCTCCACTTGTCCACACAAAGACATTGTCACCTCTCTCCCTTGTAATTATCAGGGAAATAGCAGATATCTCTCTTATATTATCAATATTTTCTCACTTTCCTAAATTATTTCTATCAGTATACAAACTGATGTAATATCTTTCATCTTATAAATAGACAAATTCCCTTCCATAAGCTCACTGTAGTTATTGTCCTATTTCTCTACTCCTCTTAAAAACAAAATTTTTCCAGGGGCACCTGGGTGGCTCAGTCGTTAAGCATCTGCCTTTGGCTCAGGTCAAGATCCCAGGGCGCTGGGATTGAGCCCCACATCGGGCTCCCTGCTCCGTGGGAAGCCTGCTTCTCCCTCTCCCACTCCCCCTGCTTGTGTTCCCTCTTGTGTCTCTCTCTGTCAAATAAAGAAATAAAATCTTAAAAACAAAACAAAATTCTTCCAAAGAGTTGTTTAAATCAGCAATGTCCAATAGAAAAACAATGTAAACCTCATATTAAAATTTTTCAGAAGCTACATTAAAAAAGTAAATAGATTTAATGAAAACAAAATAAGAATAACTGCTATATTTATTGACCAATTACTACATGCCAGACACCCTAATGAGCATTTTATTGATATTATCTCAATCTCATTGTAAAACTTGTTAAAAAAAAAAAGTATGAAACCCATTTTACAGATGTTTAAGACCAAATGTCATGCTGAATCACTAGGTTATACTGCAAAAAGAAAAAGAAAGTAAGCAGAAATAAGTAAATTTAGGGGTGCCTGCCTGGGTGGCTCAGTCAGTTAAGTGTCTGCCTTTGGCTCAGGTCATGATCCCAGTGTCCTGGGATCGGGCCCCAAGTCAGGCTCCCTGCTCTGCAGGGGGTCTGCTTCTCCCTCTCCCTGCTCTTGTGCTCTTGCTCTCTAAATAAATAAATAAATAAATAAATAAATAAATAAATAAAAATATCTTTTAAAAAAGAAGCAAATTAAATATATTTAATCCATTATATCTAAAATGTTATTTCAACATGTACTCAATATAAAAATTATTAATGAGGGTGCCTGGGTGGCTCAGTTGGTTAAGCGACGGCCTTTGGCTCAGGTCATGATCCTGGAGTCCAGGGATAGAGTCCCGCATCGGGCTCCCTGCTCAGCAGGGAGTCTGCTTTTCCCTCTGACCCTCTTCCCTCTTGTGCTCTTTGTGTCTCATTCTCTCTCTCTCAAATAAATAAATAAAATCTTTTTAAAAAAATAAATAAATAAATAATAATAAAAATTATTAATGAGATGCTTTACATTCTTTTTTGTACTGAATCTTTAAAATCTGGTATATATTTTATACTTATAGCGTATCTTAATTCAGAGCAGTCTTATGTGGCTACTGGGTACATTACTGGACAGCACAGGTCTAAACTCACCTCTATTCTTATCTTTTAGGCCCACTATTCCCTTGTGCCCCCACTGCAATGCTTTCATCCCAACCATTCTATCAAGTAGCTTTTGTCAAGAATATCAGTAGCTTCCATGTTACCAAATCCAATGGTCAGTTCTCAGTCTTCATCTTCCTCACTCTCTCTCAGAAGAATTTAATTCAGTTGATCATACCCTCTATGAAACACTCTGTACTCCTGACTTCTAGGACCCATACTCTTCTGGTTTTCCTTCCGCATCAGTCCTTCTCGGTCTCTTTTGCTGGTTCCTCCTCTTCTTCTCAGCCTCTAGATACTGAATCCTCAAAACTCAGTCCTTGGGCATCTTTCCTATCTACACTCACAATCCTACCCTCCAGATAATCCTATCCCATCCTATGGCTTTAAGTACACTAATGATTCTCAAACGCATACCTCCAATCCTGACTCCAGGTATCTAATCACTACTGCACTTGGATATCCAACAGGTCTCTCAAACTTAATAGATCAAGAACTCAATTTTTGTTCCCATCTCATCATTCTGCCCTGTCTTTCCATCTCAGTAAACGGTAAGGTCATTTGTACAGTTGCCCAGGTCAAAAATCTTTGTTGTTGTCCTTGACTTTCTTTCTCTCACACTCCACAACCAGTCCCTGGCCAAATCCCGTATTTTCTATCTTCAACATATACCCCAAATCCCACCAGCTCCAGTGCCACCACCACGGTCCAGGCAGCTACCACCTTCCACCCGGATTACTGTAGTAGTCTCCCGACTGATCTCCCTGCTCCACCCTCACTTCCTTTCTATTTTCCTTTTAAAATAGAAATCGCATTAAATCACAAACACTCCAATGACTCTCCTTCACCCTCAGAACAAAACTCAAAGTTCTGGTCATGAGTTTCAAGGGCCCACACAACTTGTTCCCCAGCTGTTCCTCTCATCTCCTAGTGCTCATTTCCCTCTAAGGATCCTGGCTCAGTGATATTCCTAGAATACATCAGACATCTTCCCACCTCAGCAACTTCATATTTGCTATTCCTTCTCCCTTTTTTTTTTTTGAAAGATTTTATTTATTTATCTATTTGACAGAGGGAGCACAAGCAGGGGGAAAGGCAGAGGGAGATGGAGAGGGAGAAGCAGGCTCCCCGCTGAGCAGGGAGCCCGACGTGGCACTAAATCCCAGGACTCTGGGATCATGACCTGAGCCGAAGGCAGACGCTTAACCGACTGTGCCACCAGGCATCCATTCCTTCTCCTTTTAAAGCTCTTCTCCAGATCTCCACAAAACCTACCCCCTACTTTCACTGAGGCTTTTCTTTGCTTAAATGTCACTTCCTCAGGGAGGCCATCCTGGACCTCCCTATTTAATAGGGCACTCAATAATCACACCTCTGTCCTTTATTTCATTTGCACTGATCTCCAGTATAACAAATCATGATCCATCTAAAGAGGATAGTTCTTTCCCATCACATATTTCAGCACAGCGCTGAGTAAAAAAGATAGTAAATGATCTGTAGAGAGATCATATGAAGTAGTTAAGGGAGAGAAGGGGTGAGAGTGCTCATTGGGCTATTTCTGACTCTCTGAGGTCCCAAAGTCCCTAAAAATGAGGTGGCATTTCTGGAAACAAAGTGAAAACATCAACTTACCTGGGACATGGCTTTACATAGTCCAACAGCCATTCTTCCTTCCTTCTTCAATCTTCTCTTTTGGAGAACAAGGTCCTGAGAAGGGAGAATTAAAGGGAAAAAAAAATGGCAGACCAGCCCTATGTTGCTGACCTGAGATTCACAAAGATAGAACTCTTGTCCCTTTAAGGTCTCCACAGCCTCCTTACATGGGCCAGCCCCACCCTCTTCCAAGATCTGAGAAAAAGGCCAGAGTTGAATTTAACCCTGAAGTTCTGACTGATATTAAGAACATGTGGCCTAAACTCAACAAAATCTAAATGGCCAACAGGCTGGTTTATGATCTGCCACCTGGCTGCCCCTTAGATTTCATTTCCTACCCTCATCCCCCTTGGCTCACCCTACTCCAGGCACAGGGGTTTTCTTACAATTCCTCAAACACTGTGCACACTCCTTCTTCAAGGCTGTTGCCTTTGCTTTTCCTTCTTCCTGGACATGGCTCACTCCCTCTCTTCATTCCTATTTGTGCTCAGTTGTCACCACATTAGAGGAACTTTCCTGAAAATTCTATCTAAAGAGAACCTCCCTTCTCTTTTCCCTTATCCTGATTTACTTTTCTTCTTAGCATCTGACACCATTGGACATGTTTTTTTCTCTTTATTGTTGTCTTCCCAAACAATAGTGTAGGATCTAATAGAACTAGGATTCACTTGGTTCACTGGTGTATCTCTGGTGTTAGAATAATGCCAGAATCTTTGCAGGTGCTCAAAAAGTATTTGTTAAATGAATAAATAAATCTTGCTGTGCCTCCTGTAATATAAATGGCAATGTTACACGTGTTGTATATGTCATTATCTTACTTAATCTTCACAAAACTGCAAAGATAAGTATTATTATCCCCATCTTACCAACAAGTAAAATTGAGGTTCAAAAAGCTTAAACAACTAACTCAGTCAGAAGAGTTAAAACTGCAATGAGACTCAAAACCTGGTCCTCTTTCAAGCGCCTACAATGTCTGAATGAAATATTTAACATAACCTGGGGAATCAATGCTATATATTTACTAGAGAAGCATCTTCAGAGCTGGCAGATATTACCTTTATTACTTCACGGGAATACAGCTTGAGGCAGGCATTGCTCATTTTTAATATAAACCAATAACAAATTGCACAGTCCCCTCAGAGCCAACACATCTTCATTCTGAAAGTGAGCATAGTTGTGTTTGACCTAGAATTTAGGATACATGACCCCCTAATTCTGGGCTACTCTGCACTAGCCAACTCACTGTTTAAGAAATTTATTTCGTTGGGCGCCTGGGTGGCTCAGTTGGTTAAGCGACTGCCTTCGGCTTAGGCCATGATCCTGGAGTCCCGGCATCGAGTCCCACATCGGACTCCCTGCTCAGCGGGGAGTCTGCTTCTCCCTCTGACCCTCTTCCCTCTCATGTGCTCTCTATCTCTTACTCTCTCTCTCTCTCTCAAATAAATAAATAAATAAATAAATCTTAAAAAAAAAAAAAAAGAAATTTATTTCGTTAGCGCAATGCAGCTTCAAATTGTCCATAAAAGCCTTTGCAACCTGAGAGAAGAATCAATGAAGTATTCTCTGCATCTGGGAGCCCTATGTAGCATATGCACAAAAGAAATGTCTTTTAAATTTCTGTTTGCAAATAGCTGTGTATCACTTGGGGAGTATTTTCCAAGTTTGAGATGAACATCAGTCTCTGAAAGAAGCTGATTTTAAAGACTTGGGTTTTATATAACCCCCAGGCACATGCTAACTCTCCACTCCTTCACTCACTGGCTACATGACCTTGGGCAAGATACTCCATCTCTCAGAACATTTCTTTCCTCACTGTCAAGACTGCATGAGCCAATTCCACTTAGAGAAGTGCTACCCTTGTTCCTGCCTACTTTCTATACACACATTTGCAAAGGAAATGAGAACATTTTTCTTTATTAACTAAGAAAGTCAGAACCAAAATTCAACTCACTTGGTACATAAGAAAAAGAGCCATGGATCAGCCTCTCTGAGCACCAAACATGGAAGACTTTTGACAAAGACAAAGCTAAAATCTCAAAGTCCATGGCCTAAGGTAGAGAAAGACTGGGTTTCGGATTGAGTTTTCTTCCCCCAGAGGCAGTCAATTTGAGGATGGTCTCACTACAGTGAGACCCTTTAGACTGGGTCCTGTGACTCACAAGGGGAATGAAGGAAGAGACCCACATCAAGATCCCATACCCTACGGGGCTCCTGGGTGGCTCAGTCGTCAAGCAGTCTGCTTTCGGCTCAGGTCATGATCCCCAGGGTCCTGGGATCGAGCCCCGCATTGGGCTTCCTGCTCCATGGGAGGCCTGCTTCTCCCTCTCCCACTCCCCCTGCTTGTGTTCCCTCTCTCGCTTTGTCTCTGTCAAATAAATAAATAAAATCTTTAAAAAAAAAAAAAAAGATCCCATATCCTAGAGGTTCCTAGTCCAAGATCAGGGACAATCCTCTCCAAAACCCTTAGAACCCAGGGCCCCCATTTTTCATTCTCACAATATGGGAAAGATCAAGAGAGGTTAGTGATTAAAAGCAAGGACTCTGGAGCCAAAATGCCTAGGTTCGAGACCCTCGTTCTGTCATTAATTAACTGTCTGAACTTGGGCAAGTAATTTTAATCTTTCTGTGCCCACAACCACACACTAGGTCCCACACAATCAAGCTTTCCATCTCACGTACACATACAAATTTTCACCCAGTCACACACATACACTATCCATGGTCACACAAGCTCATCTGTAATGTCAAATACCTATGTAGTGGCATTAACGCAAAGATAGATGACACACAATTACTCAGACAGTCCCACGCAATCTCACACACAGTGACATACCACACTAGGTCACACGTCCTGTCATCATTACTCATACAAATTTATACCTGCAGAGAGAAGATGCACACAGGTACATAATCATACCTGCTGTCACTCACATTCAAACACTGTTATATCCACAGAGACAAGTGCTCAAACATAATCACACACATTCATACTGCGACACACACAATGTCACACCCGCAGTCTCTCACAAACCCATATACAGTAACACAGTTATACCTGCAGAGACACACACACAGTTTTACACCTGAAACATACAGTCGCACATAAGCACACACGCGGTGACAGACATGATCACATTCTGTCACACCACGGCCTCTCACATAGTTAGTTCGACAGTAACCCCAGAGGCACCCACGCCGGTCCCACCCCTGTCCCTGCCGGTCCACCCGAAGCCCAGCCCTGACCTCTGGCTCCCGCGCGCAGCCAGGCCCGACTCACCTCCCGGCGCCGCGGGCTCTGGAAACCCGCCCAGCGACCCGAGAGCCGCGACGTCCCCTCCCAGAATCCCCCGCGGGGTGAAGCTGAGCAGGGACCGAGGCGCGCGGGACCTCGAGCTCGGCTGCGGAAACATCCAGCTGGACTGGACGCGGCTCAGTTTTTCATTACGACCCCGCGAACCACGAGTCCCAGAACGCTTTGCGCCGCGGCCTTCTTTGCTGAACTACATTTCCCAGAGGACCCCCAAGGCCCGCCTCTATTCCGCGCCTGCGCAGGCGGCCGCGGCTGAGGATGTCTGAGAGCTGTGCGCCGCCCTAGCAGATCTCCCCCACTCAAGTGCCGGCGGGCACCTATGTGTGAGGAAACCGTGAAGCTCCGCGCGTCCATGACTGTTATTTAATGCTCAGGTGTGGCGATCTGTGTGTGACCGTCGCTGCACACTTTTATGACTGCGCATCACGGAGCAAAGGTTTCTGTCAGTGCAGTGAGCTTCTGTATTTAAAATCACGTCCCGTGATTGTGGGTCGTTGTGTGACGCCTAGAATGTGAGAGTTTGTGGATTTGTGAGAGGGACTGTGGCTGACTTTGGGCGACCATTTCTTTGGTTCTTACCCTAGAGATCGAAGGGGTTTACCTGTGACACGCGGTGGGGCTTCATTTGTTTCTGGCCCTGCCTTTAGTGTGGGGCGGGTGGGAGAGGTTTCTTTGTGTGCCTTTGTGCGGGACTGACTCCAGATTAACTGTTCCCCCACGCCCATGCCATCCCTCACCCCCGGCCATGGGCCGGGTCACTGTTATCTTCGTTTTTATATCCTTTCTCTACTTAGACCTAATGTGATATCACAGAAGGGTAATTAGATTCCGTTTGTTAGGAAGACGCTCATTGAACCAGAGAGAGTCCTTTATAATGTGATAACCGGAGCCCTGGGTTCTCTTGGTGCTGCTTCCACCTTTTCACCTTACAACTTCAGTTAGGGTCCAGCTTCAAGAAAACTATCAGTCAGGAGGACAAGAATATGAGCTCCTGAGTGATGTTAAAGAAAGCCACATTTGAGTGGTAGTTAAAGAGGTTTGTTTTTTGTTTTTTAATATTTATCCAGGAACAACTACAGTAGGGGAGAAGAAACTTCAGCATAGAACTGGGCTCAGTTCCAATACAGCAAGAATAAGTACGGTTTAAAATGTGCAAGGAGCAAGTTGGGGCGGGGCAGTCAGTGGATGGAAAATTAAGGGGAGACATCAAGGGTAGGGGGATATTCTTGCTAGACTGACCAACAGAATTCTTGCTGAGGGCAGTCCAGGGTGATCAGATACCGCCTGGATGGATGAGGAATTTAATTAGATAGATAGGAAGATTAGTCAGATATCAAGGGCTCTGGCTAAACTGAGTTGACAGAATTCTTACTAAAACCGGGTAATGCAAAGACAAACACTGAAACCCAAAGGTTGAAGCCTCATAGTTGAGAAGACGGTCCAGAGGAGCCTAACTAAAATTTGATCAAGGAGAAAGTATTTGACAGTTAAAATTCTGAACAAAGCAACATTCATCCGCATCCCCAGGCCCTGGAAGATCTGGAAGGTGTACTGAAGTCAAGAGCTTGGTAAGTAGGGGTATGTGGAAACAAGGGGGAAGTTCTTGAAATGAGAACCAATCTTTGGAGAATAATTCCTCCAATTCCCCCCCCCCGCCCCCGTGCGTGCGCGCGCGCGCGCGCGCGCACACACACACACACAA